TTCTCTGCAGAGCTGCTCTCCAGAAGGTCAGTCCCCAGCCTGTACTGGTGTCTGGGGTTATTCCTCCCCAGGTGCAGAACCTTCCACTTGGCCTTGTTGAATTGCATGAGGTTTTTCACCGCCCAGTTGTCCAGTCTGTCCAGGTCCCTCTGGATGGCAGCGCAGCCCTCTGGGGTATCAGCTACTCCTCCCAGTTTGGTATCATCAGCAAACTTGCTGAGGGAGCACTCTGTGCCTTCATCCAGGTCATTGATGAATAAATTGAACAGGACTGGACCAAGGACTGACCCCTGGGGGACCCCACTAGCTACAGGCCTCCAACTAGACTCTGCACCGCTGATCACCACCCTCTGAGCTCTGACATCCAGCCAGTTCCTAATCCACCTCACTGTCCACTCATCTATCCCACACAATGGTAACTTTTGCTGCTGTTCTGCATGGAGCTTATGAGGGGAGTAAGAATTATTGCTGATTTTTAAAACTTTAGCCTTAACATCTAGCCATAAAATTTCAGATATTTGTCACCTGCCCTCTACCAAGTCATTTGACTGCAAACTGCTTAGCTGTATGGGTTTTCTTTGTGTGTGTCAAATATTACTGATGTTATTAATGTATATTGAGAAAAATCAGATTCACAAAATCTTAGTATTTTATAAGTGACCCTACCTACATAGAGTAAGCATATAAAATTCAGTATAAGCCTTGCAGACGATGTCTGTAAGAAAAGTAGCAAAAAAACTCTGTGTCTTCACTGAATATTCTTTGAATCCCTGTGGTTTGCGTAGGATGTTGTGACCTAAAAGCAAGATTGGTTTCAACCAAGACTGGATGCCTGAGATATTGCTGTATTTTCAGTCAGGTCAAGAGAGCTTGCTAGCTAAAGGCTTCTTTCTGCTGTTAGATTTTATCTTTAAATATGAGGATTTTAAGTGGTCATTTACTAGTTTCATCCCAACTTTCAATTACTGCAGAGATCACTTAAATCTACCCTTAAAGCGAAGCTTCCAAAGGTCATTCAAGCCTGTGTACATTTCATGACTTCTCTCGCAAGTGCTCAAGTAGATGCTAGCAGATAACAGCAGGGTTTCCTTCAAGCAGCCCCTTTCCTATCTTTTAAATACGTCTGGCAGTGCCTATGCTCTGTACTCAGCCTAAGGAATAGCTTCACATTCAACTTTTAGGGATAAAAAAGAAAAAAACAGTGCAATAGATGCCCAGAAAAAAAAACTTCAAAGTGTCCATATACAATATGGATATCCTATAAAGTATTTCCAGCTTTTGTGATTAAAATATTCGCCCTGCCAGCTCCTTTGGTGTCATCAAAGCTTCATTCGCTTGCAGATAGGAAGACTGCTCGTATACTCAAAGTGGGGAACAGGAACAACTGGCTCTTTGCCGAGCTGTAGCTGGGCTTGTGCTGCAGTTTGTTGCTCATTCTGACCTCCTCTAGATGCAGGAAGGAGCAACCAACTGATCTGATGGGCAGGCGGGAGGCCTTTCACTCTACCACTGGCTGCTTCACTTGTGGCTGAATTTATAAAGATACTGAGTGTACTGGGCGCTTAGGTGTCAGGTAATTTTTTTCCAGTCAACAGCGTGAGGCATCTAGTGAGAGTTTCTTTGTTCTGCCATGTGTAGCTCGTAGTATGTCTGCGCCTGAGTGCTCCCTGACCAGGGCAGAGCTACGTCAGCTTGTCTCGTAAAAGCTTTAATAAGAAGTTGCAGTGGGGGAGAGGCCGCAAGAGCAGTTGGGCTCAAAGAGCTGTGTGGCTGTTTACAGCTGCAGAAGAATCCCTAGGCACTTTCAAAGGTCAGGCCACACCGCAAAGTTCTTCTCTGTGCAAAATTAAAACAGGATCAGTGGAAGCTGTGTCCGTTCAGTGCTTTCTTGCTCACAGAAGCAAATGTTATTTCAGCCAGCTGATCTGCGTGTGGAAAATGTATGTGCAACACACAGCTTTAAAAATAAATGCTGGTTAAATCACTCTGTTTCCTTACACATTAAAAAAACAAACGTGGCTTCGCTCAGCAGGAGTGGTTTCAGGGCTGTAACTGTAAGTACTAAATGTCAAAATAATGCTATGTTAGCTGTCTTACCAGACAGACTGTTCTTCAGCAGGTTTAGTTTCAAAGAACTCAACGTTTTTCACAATGAGACACTTTATTATTCTCCCACCCCACTGGTGTGGTGCGTCAGTATTTTATCGGGACAATCTAAGCACTGCAGGCACCGTCATCTTCGGTACCTCTGCGTGGTTCCTTATCTAACAACTTTCCCTAATAAAGTAATAAAATGTGTGTTAACATCCCTGGGCAATGTAAATAATTGAAAAAGTGAGTGAGGGAACTTTGACCAGCTCAGCATTCTTTCAAAGTCAGTTTTGCCTCATGGAGAGTTGCTGTTTGTCTTCAGAGCTTCAGGATTATGCCCAAAAGCAGCAGCATATGCACAATAAACAGGACTCTATCCTTGACATTTATTTTTAATGCAGTACTTCAATTAGATATTAAATTTATTACGTTGAAGCATGCTAATTATTGTTCTCTCTCTAATAGATGACTTGCCATGGTCAAAATACAGATGTCCTTCAAGACCATGATAATTTGCATTGTGCTTTGGTATTAGGCATGGTTGGTTGTTCTAAACATAGTAGAGGCTGTAGATTTTATTAATTAACCACAAAAATGTGCTCATGCTCAGCCATTAAAGCAAGCTCTCTTTCACCTTAACCTTGACTAGTAGAGCCAAACTCTTAACAGGTAACAACAGCTCCAACAGACACTGCTGATTTCATGTTAATTAGATTTGCAAGTCAGGATGCTTCTATAATAGTCACAAACACTTTACCTTTTAGGTTTCTTCTCGCTTTCCTTGCCAATATTTTCTCCTGAGGTAGAATTGTTATTTTCATTATGAAAGGGTTCTTGGCTAACACTCAATGGTTTCCAGTTCAATCTCTTCAGTGTTACTTGCTGCAAATAGAAGGATAATTTTATTGATTGTCAAGTGGATTTGCAACTGGATTCTAAAAATAGTGTGTAAATAGCAGACATTGTAAACATCTTAGTGTTTGTCCAAATTCAGTCATTACAATTATAGAACAACTGTAGTATTTTTAAATGAGACACATTTTCAAAACATGTAACTGTATGCAGAGTCCCTCACCATCCTTAAAGACACTGGTTTCTTCAAGGACAAGACTAAAGATGTCATCAAAACTAAATTGAAGTCCGTAGGGCTGATCTTTTTTCCTTTCTTCAATGACCATTGAAAGACTCTTTTAACTTGACTTTTTTCTTGTCTTTGACTCAGACAAGAGTCTAAAGACTCTTGAAGCACCTGATTTGAATCATGTTCTGGGCAACTACACATCATCTGTAGAGGAAGTATCCAGAACTGCATTACTCCAAAAGGCTGCCCAACAGCTGCATTTGATTCAAACTAAGTAAAACTCTGGCTCTGTAGGAATGTCAGATTATTTCTTTGAGAGGGAGACCTTTTATGTGATCAGAAGCCTGTGTGGTCTGTCAGGACATGAAAATTTTCAGCAGTTACAGACACATGTGAACCATGTGCCAACTGTGAACACTTCAGCAGCCCTGAGAGTCGGAGCAGTAGGTGACATATAGAAAGAGATAGCCTAAGCCAAATTCATTTCTTCTCATCATATCTGCAGAGTTAGGAGAGAGTCTGAGCCCTAACACTTCGGATTTTTGAATTATCTATGTTGGTCTGGAGAAACATGGGTAATTCCTGTGCTTTTTGTAACAGCTAAGTGGAGCTTTGAGAGAAGAAATACAGACAGGGCAAGAAACCACTAGTGAATCTGCACTTACAAAGAAAGCAGGTAGATGCCTGATATGCTTGGAAGTGTTAAAAGACATCTCCTGTTCTCAGAAGAATGTGTGATGCCTAGAGCTTGAGTTGGACATTGAAATTGAAGCTCTGGTCTTTTCTCTCAGAATTTTGCAGTTAGTGATGGGAGGTCAGTACGGTAAAGTGTTTTTTTTTTTTTTTTTTTTTTTTTAGTTTGTGTAAGGTTTTTTTTTTTTTTTTTTTTTTTTTTTTTTTTTTTTGTGGTCTCTGATGTAAAATAAGTAGGGCTGATGTCCTGAGGATCTTTCTGGACTGAATGCTCAGCTGAGCCCTTCTGGCCTTTTCTGCCTGTGTCGCTGTTTAGCACTTTCGAGGCTCTAACCTTAGGTCAGGGGCTTTAAAATTCAGACCAGAAACCTCACACGCCTTGACAGTATTTTTGGGGAGATACCTGTTAATTTGTGTGTCTTCTTCTGGAAGAGATGCAGGGATTTGTTACACAACCACATGAAGCAGATCAAAATGGCAGATACTCCAGTGAGAAATGCAAAGAAAACTGCTACAAAATGCAAATCTTCATATATAATCTCTGCAGGAAAGACAGAAAAAAAGGTGATACTATAAATATTAAAGTAACACACAGTATAACCAAGCACTCCTGTCTAGCTCATACCATAAACATTGACTACGATGGTCCCGTAGATGTTGCTTCCATGCTCCTCTGTTACAGTGACAAAGTAGTAGCCAGCATCTCTCACACCCACGTTCAGAAGCTGTATAGAGCCATTTTCAAAAACAGTCACTCTGTCCTTGTAGCCTGTGGATATGTTAACATAATTCCCACTTCTCCACTCGACAATTTTTGTGGTGCCCCGGCTTGACACATGCTTCCACTCAATGGTGGCGACTCCTCTGCAGGAGCAATCGACTGAGAGGAGGATGTTCTGTGCCACTGTGGCGTTGATGTTGGGCTGCGGGACAAGCAAGGACACTCCTTCAGGGGCTGAAAGACAAAGGAGGGCAATGAGTGCGGCCGTGACGCTGCAGCAAATGTCACCACGCACAGGGAGCGCGCTCGGCCATGACGCGACAGCTCGTGTCCAGCCCCTTGGCAAATCTGGGGCTGCATGGGACAAACAGGAGTTCCCTGCATAGACTCTGTAGTCACCACCACAACCTTCTCTCGACAACAGAGGAGCCAGATACAAGCTAAGGCTGGTATTTGCCTCCCTTCAGTACTGGCTTTCACAAAGTTATGCATTATGCATAATCTAAAAATTAGGAGGGGCTTCCTCTTTAGTGTGGGGGAAGATCCCACTGATGGGGGTGAATTATCCTGTCCGTCGCAGCAGTGAGTCTTAGGAGAAGATGTGTTATCCTCTCCGACTCTCTCCTGAACACAGAAGGCACGTACGTATCTAACTTAAAGACTAGAGGCACAGTTCATTGGGTTACAGCTAGGAGAAATGTTTCTGCCTTACAGGTACACATTCTAGTTTACCCAAGAGAAGATGTTTGGAAGAGTCTTTTGCGGGGAAGAAGGGGCAACATTTTCCAAAAACTCTGGCCTTGAATATATCTCAAATTGAGATACAAAAATCACTACTTGCTTTCATAAATCTCATCTTTATCACAGTGCTGCACTTGCTTCATCGCTTAAAATGAAGATCGTTGTTGCCTGTTCTCTCTGTCACTGCTCCCACCCTCTTCCTCAGGGACAGACACGTTGGCTGTCGTGAGCAGCCCTCGCCTCCCATCTCTCCGACCCGGCTTTACCCAAAGTCGAGGCATTTCACTGTGATTTGTATACGCCTTAATTGACAGGCAGCTAGAAAATACAATAATCTAGAGGTGGCTTTTAATTTTCTGAAAGTCAATTATAACACCCACTTTTCTGTGGCCTTCAGAGAGGCTGTCAGCCGAATGCCCTCATAAAAAAATGCATATTGAAGAAATAGTACAAAAACCTCATTTATTATTTGCCAGATCAAGAACTGTTCAGACAAGTATGCACCATTTGTATTCAGGAGTAACTGGCTTTCCTTTGAAATCCTGCATATAAATCGCAAGCTTAGGTGCCCCGGCCAAGGTCACCTGTTAGGTTAATTGATTACCTCCCCAAAAGCAAGGACGTCAGCAGCCTTAAGGATGTGAAGACCAGCCGAGGAGCTCAGGCTGTTTTCAGGATGAGAGAAGCATAGCCAACTGTCAGCGATACCAAATGGATTGTAAATTAGTAATAAAGTGGAATCAGTCATTTGAGACAGCAGCAAAATGTAAGGGAAGTAAAAGCAGCCAGTTATATTCCAGTGCAGATAAATCACAGATAAATCACAGATTTACTGCGCCCAGTTTCACATTAAGGTAGGGACTCATTTCCCAAGGCAAGAACAGATGCAAAAGAATATTCTATTCTCCCACAGTTCCCAGAGATGTGATCAAGGAGCTGTTCATAACCCTGTTGACCTGGACTAACCAGTGTTCAATGCAGTTTAATGTGTAACTGCAATAATTCTGCTTTGAAGTATATGTGTGTGTGTAGAGGGGAGGTTGGATGCACACCAAACATCCCAGTTTCAATGGGCATGCCCATTTTTCAAACAAATGGCGTGTTTGAAAGGCTTGGCTGGAGACTGAAATCCAGTTATCTGCCCACAGAAATCAAAGCAGACAAGAGCCAGATAAAGCACAGAGCACACGTCACCTCAAGCATCCTTTCCTGGCTCAGCGGGACCAGCTCACCAGCTCGCTCTGTGTCTGAGCAGCCACGACCAAACTGAGAAAAAAGTAATGCTTGTCCTCAAACCTGTATAACCCAAAAGTCAGGGAGCACTGGACCCTGAGCTGTGCTGGAGGAGGACTAAAAAAGTCTCTCTGGGCATGTCGCCTAGAAGCAGTGCAGGTTCACATGAAAATGTTAAGGAGAATAAACAAACAAATAAATAAATAAATTTCCAGGGAAATCTTGGATTTTTTTTTCCCCCTCTGGGCAGAAAGCTCCAAAGCAAAGGAGTGAGAAAGAGAGGGATGGGGGGGGGGGGGGGGTAAACGATTTACAAGCCAACTCTGATCCATTTGGGTTCTCTACCAGAACTTGGCTCAATTCTGCTGCTCAGGGTAATGTCTAATATTTTAAACACACGGGATGGGGGCTTTTCCCAGGGAAAGACTCCTGGTATTGCCGTTCCTGGGAATCCTGTCTTGTGTTACCGGTCCCTCCGCAGGGACCCCCTGCTCCAGGCAGCCCATCTTCAGCTAAGTTGTGGCTTTGGTTTCACTGCAAATGCACAGGGATTTTTGTGAGAGCTCGATGAGCCGAACGGAGGGGGGCTGCTGATCATTGCTGCAAATTGATCCAATTGCTCTTTCTGGTGCACGGGTTTGTCTAAAGGCTTTTTTGCTCTATTTCTGGCCACACGTGAGTTGGCCGTCGCCACTGCAGTGCCTCTTCTGGGCTTTGCTCTGAATGTGTGACTGCAAGGTAAATACAAGAGATGCTTCCACGTGCCACCTTTACATTATCTGTAAATATCCATTATGTCTTTGTCCGACCTGCAAAACTAAGCCTGGCCATGTAGGATCTGAGCGTGTGGAAGTGTTTTTAATGGGCTCTGCCCAAAGATAGCTCCTCCATGCACCCATGGGGGACAGAGGAGCAGGGTGCTCTGAGCACGGTGGCTCTGCACTCCCGGCAAGCAGCAGCCTCCCAAGCCTTCCTCCGGCGGACGGCAGAGGCGGGAGCGAGGCCGTGTTTGCAGGATCCTGCCATAGCAACGCAAGCGGCGAGGGGACGGAAAACGGCCGGCAGCGACGCGCTCGGACGCAGACACCGTCCGGGCAGAGCAACCACATGAAACAGAGTAAAATGCCACTGATGGCAGGGGACAGTTCCTCCATTGGTGCCCGTCACCGTCCTGCTTGTGTGGCCGCGGTGAAGGAGGAGATGGGGCAGCATGTCTCTCCCAGGCCACCCTGTTGGAGCGCTCCGCACCTCCGTCCCTGTGCGGGTGCTGAAGGCAGCCTCCTTTAACGCTGCCTTAGCCAGGAGCACCAGCGAGCTGTCCCTCCGCGCGCGCGTTTGCCCACATGCCATGCCAGCCCTCTCAGATCCACCCTCCCTCCTTGCCGGGTCTGCGTTTCCGTGTTCCACTCGAGCTGCCCAGCCTGGCTAAACAGGCTCTATCCGCTCTGCACCTTCGCATTCCCTCCAGAGGCTGGAAGGCGGTGGGACACCCGCTTCCCCGTGGCGTCTGTCCCCGCAGCCCCGCACACCTGCAGCAAGCAGCGAGGCGGGCACCGTGACCCCGAACACACGCGCGGAGGGCACTCGCCAGGTCCCAACGCGTGGAGCTCCCACCCAGGAGCGCAGCCCGAGGCTTCGCAGCCTCGTGAGGCGGCTCCCCCCGGCATGGCCGCGCGTGGGGGCCCCGCACTCACCCCGCAGGGCGCAGCCGGCCGCCAGGCAGAGCGCCACGGTGCCCACAAGGGCCCCAGGTCTCTTCCTCCTCCTCTTCCTCCTCCTCCTCCTCCTCCTCCTCCTAGCCCAGCGCCTCCCTCCCTTCCTTCCTGCCAGCCTCCGGGGCCAATTGGTTGAGGGGGGAAATGGCCCTGCGCCCTCCTGGAGACCCTGCCCGAGGTCCCATCCCACTCGTGATGCTCTCATCTGCGCTTCTCTTGTGCCTTCCCTGTCCTGGATGTGCCCTGCCTGGGCAAAATGAGCTGGGACTGTAGGAGTGTTAGGCAACCGCAGAGGGAGGTGAGGACAGCTACCGGGCAGGAGGAAAGCTGCAGGATGCAGCGTCCCACTTGCTGGAGGGACTCAGAGAGGCTCCGGGATGTGTTTCTTGATGGAGGTCCACGTTTCCCACCCACAAAGAGGCACCAGGGAAAGTGGAGCCAGAGGCAGGCAAATTGCTGGCGCTCTCACTGGCCCCGTGTGGGCTCTGAACTGGAGTGGGACTGGGCTCAGTCATGGTGCAAGAGGCTTGTGAAGCTGCCACCAGCACAGGGCAGAGGGACCCTTGAGTATCTCTTACCTCTTCCTCAGACCCACATTGAGCTGCTCCCATGGGGTGTCCCAGCAGCTGTGATGCTATCGTGGGTGCCAAGGGAAAATTTTGGTGTGGAACTTGTAAGGTTTGGTTTTCTTATCCAACAGCTCGATGGCAATTCAAAGGAGACAGTCCATGTTTGGGATGAAAGGCTGGAAGGCTGCATGGACCACAGAGCCCTTCCTCATTCAAGATGCAGCAAAATCCCCAGCTCCCGCAGCGTGTTTTGGAACAGGCTGCCCTGTTCCAAACAGGTTGTAGAGTCTCCATCTCTGGAGATCTTCAAAACCCAGCTGGCTGCCACCTTGTTCCCTGTGCTCTAGGTATGCCTGCTGCAGCAGGGGGGTTGGACTAGATGATCTCTAGAGGTCCCTTCCGACCTCGACCATTTTGTGGTTCTGTGATTCCCCTGGTTTCTGGTGGATCTCTTGAGCAACAGGAGTCAGCTGGAGACATGAGGAGAAAGAAGCCAGCGAAGAGGTCCAAATACTTTTGAATAGGTTTTGCAGTCCACACTGATTCATGCACTTAGTGCTGGAGACATCTGGACATGTGGTGACACTTCATCCATAAAGGCAGCCTTGGGAGAGTTCTCTGGTGCACCGAACTGCTTGATCCCATTCCTGTGGTTTGCCATGTCCCTCTTGTGCAGTCCATGTGCCATTGCTGAAAAGGAGATTACTGAAAAAAAATAACAGAGTCCTTCCCCAAAGGACTTCATGGTAACTTTATTTCTCAAAGTGTTAAAGAAGATCTCATGGTAATGTGACTTTATGACATTTTCCTTCTTCATTTTTTAAAGCCATATTATTTTATTTATCTTTTTCTTGAGCTCTTGGCTCAGTAGCCTGCTTTGGCAGAACAGCACGTGGGGCATATGCTAGTACAAAATTAATTTAACTTTGAGTAACTCAAAACGTATCCCACTGGCTTCATTGCTTTAATCTGCTCTGTTGGAAAGACAGATGTTGCTCATGAAATTCAAATCCAGGTCTCAAGCTCTTCCAGAAACAGTGGCTTTGGGATATAGTCAAATGTTTAATCTCAGGATACATTTTTTTTTAAGCATCAGTACATATTCAGCAAAGAGATTTCAGGTCCTTTCTGTTTAAAAGCAAAATTATAGAATATCTAGAGCAGCTCAATTAGCTGTGTTATTAATTAGCAGTTCACCAGTGTGTGTTGGCTGGTGGAGCCCCTACTTGGCCTTGGGCGCCCGAGAGCCTCACCCGAGCGTCGCGGGGTGGGCTCAGCCCTGGAGCTCAGCACCTCCGAGTGTCCCCAGCATGTGTCCACCTACCCATTCCCAAAATGTCCATGTGGGAGCTGAACAAAACCTGCAAGACTTTGGCAGGGGGTTTCCATCACAGCAGAGTCAATGGAGCACCCACTGCCCGGCTCTTCCCCAGCAGGGTTGATTCCGCCACCAAATTAGAGGAATTTCACAGAAAATGTGTATGACAGTATAGCTGTAAGATTGCTAACCCCAGCTTCATCCTGATGTATTTTCCTAAAAAAGCTCTCTCTGGAAATCCCATCCTTACACGCCCAGCGGAGACAAATGATGTGCTGCTATGGACATTTTGTGCCCTCCTCTTGCCCTTACATTTTCCTTTGCTCTGCAGGGCTAGCAAACAGGAGCATATCAAACCATAAGATACAGCTCGGAAGAATTAGTTTTCCTTTTTTAATTACAAAGTGCCTGGAAACCAGCAGGAGTGATTTACAAGCTTTATAAAA